TTGTGGGCCTTTCCGACTTGGTCACGTAGACCAGGTGACCAACCAGAGCCTGCCAAGAGAAGCTTAGATTGCCACACCTTGCTGTCTTTGCTGCAAAGCCTCCGGCCTTTGTCTGTGAAGGTAGCCGACACACAGCACGGAACTGCACAAAGTCGCGAACCTTGGACGCGTCAAACATATATGAATCCCGGCTTCCCAATTGGAAGATGCTGATGCCGGTTCGAAGGTCTGCACGGTGAGATACGGAACCACCACATTTGAGACGATCGGCCTCCGGATCACTGAAGTTGCAGAACGTGCGATCGCGCATCTCCAACGCAACTAGGAAGCCATGGGATCTTCTTTGCGACCACCATAGTTTCGACGTTCTTGTCAGCCTGGGGAGAACTGGTACCCAGTGCCGTGCAGTTGTCTCTGCAATTGCTCGAAGCTACCCCTGCGCGTCAACCGCCTTGTTTACTAGGGCGGTTGCAATTCTTGTCGCAACCGCCTCGTTTTACCAGCCGGAGCCAGAGGGTGCTTGGTTTGGGGGAGAATGGAACTGAGTTTAGAAGCTTTTTTGACCGGGTTTCGCCGTGTTTTACTGTGTTTGCCCGGGCGCGAAGTACCGTGACTCTGGCGTGACCCTGGCGTGATCCTGGCGTGACTCTTCTCTTATTTTAAAGAGGAAAGGGCTCGAACCGCCCCATTTTGCCCGTGACTCTGGCGTGACTGCTGCGTGACTCTGGCATATTCTAGAAGCTAGCACCTGGGAACTGCTTCAAACACCATCAAAATTTGCAGATTTCGCGCCGTGGAAACTACGTCTCCACATCGTCCCTGTGTCGCAACCGCCCGGTTTACCATGAAGGTTGTGAACCGCCTCGTTTTCTGCGACTGTTGGACTTGCTGGGTACAGCTTCCGGAATTGTCCAACTGCTCCAGTGTAATTTTTTTTACAGTCCAAGCTGGTCCCTGTTCACCCTCCGTCTCTACTCACCCTGGAGAGACAACACGTCAATTCTTCCGGACAGGGCTACGCAGAACCCAGGTCCTTGTGGCTGTCTGCTTCCAATGCTGTTGTTGCATACGATTGCAGCATTGCAGTTGCAGTATGACCCTATGACCCTGCCCATGACCCCCGGCTTGTGCAAGGGCAGCATGTTGTAAGGAAGTCCATGTGAAGACAATTCGTCGAGGCCCTTACATCCGCCGGGACATCCGAGCCACCCTGCAAGGCAAAACGCCGTCCAACACATGGGCCGCCCGCATGCGTCAACACATGCGCCCTTGGAGCTCTACCCGGCGGCCACCAGCACCCGCGCGGCTGTGTGAGTGCGTTACTGTAGCTGCAGCCGCTAGGGGGCCGGTTGCCTTGGGTTCCGCTGCGCCAGGATTCTGCTGAATGACCTCGAGCTGCTCCTGGCACGACTGTACCGCGTTGAAGATGAACGCGGCTCGCGTTGACTCCAAGCTTCAGGGAGGGCTGCCCCCACCTCGTCGGTGCAGACACCTTTTGCCTTGCAGTCCGACAGTCTTGGCATTCTCAACTCCAGAAAAGGAAAGGACATATTGATGATATCTGCGAAACGCAAGGCCTGTGTATGTTTTGCTGGAACGATATGGGAGTTGGCCGTTGAGGGTTCAAGGCCGAGGATCATACTGTAGCCTTCAGGGCGTGATACATCCTGCGAAATGCCCTATGAGCCTGTCTTTCGTAACTTTAGTGTAGCAGCTTGCGAAACGATACAGCTGCCCAATAGATAGACTGCGGCGTCATACTGCAACAAGATGGCTTCTCGGACGAATAATGACTTCAGACTCGTCTCACTAAAGCAGGAAAATTAGAGCCCCACGCCCCACGCGCCTGGCAATTGCAGTTCAGTCCGTCGATCTTCAGCATCAGACTCTCGAGGGGAACCGATGCTGAAAGGACCGACAAGGGCCTGAACCAAAAGGACCTGGCAAGTGGCAAAGTTTGACTTCGACATCTGCTAGGCCAGGACGGGCGGCGGAGGGGTGGCTGAGTGGTACACCGACTCCGGCTGCATGAAATCGCACGAAGCATGCCGGGGTCACGCGCTGCCCTCCTCCACCGCCAGGTCCTCTTGGACATCCTGTGTAAGGAGCAGAACCACACAACACACCCCGACAAGCCTGAAACCTGACATGAGTTTGCCCTGAATCCAACCTGACGCCGAACCTATTCCTGGCCAGTCAATTCGGCTGCTGATGATCTGAAAGTAGCAACCTATAGCATGCTATGTAATCCTGAAGCGGCGTCATGCTAAGATCATACACACGTACTCCGGCCCATATTAGGCAAGAGACCGAACATGAGTGGCAAAGAGCACGCTCGTACAGATGCCGTCTTGTAAGGGCCCAACACGTCCCGGGCAAACTTCCTGGCAAATCCGCCCGGCCTGGCGCAAGGAGGCGCTGGATCCTGCCTCAAACTGGAGGTTTGCCGAACTGCGGGCCCCCTTGCTGTTTGTAGACTGATTTCAAAAAAATAGTCAACTTGGTCTTTGTGGCAACAGCTGTGACTGGGTTCTGCCCGTGCCTCTGGCCCAGGCGTGCACTCCGTGCACCAGGGGTCCTGTGCGCCGAAGGTCCAATACTCTGCCCAACGACATGACATCACCATGACAGCTGCCAGGCACCTGTTCCACCGGAAGTGCGGACAACGAATGCATTATGCCAAACAAATACCGCTATACATCTTCCAAGCAAGCTGGAGTTCGACGTAAACGCATCACACACACACACACACACATACACGCTGCCCAATTTCAACAGCGAATTGCAAAACAGTCCTGGAAGCTGTCTCTGGATGCGTCCGGAGCAATAACCTGGTCGCGGGTCGAGCAGGGACAGCGTCGGCGCATGTCTGTGGCTGAGTTGGCCACTACCTCCAGCTCATCCAAACAACCTGGGACAGGCGATTCGCATCTTCTCTATGTCAAGCGATCTAGGGATCCAGGTCATGTCGCCTTCTGGTTGCGGCTGATGGCACAGCCCTCAGCGCAAGGAAGTCAGGACGGCAGCGCGACAGCTGCGAGACCCAGGTATATCCAGGTGACACTCTACACGATGCAAAGGTAAGCACGCTGAGAGCGAGTCAGCTGAAGCCGCCGCTCCACCACATGACGGCTCGAAGATGCTAGCTTTACTAGCTCGTGTGTATCTCTGCGTGCCGTATGTGAACCAGAAACCTGACAAGAAAAACTGTGCGTGCGCAAGACTCGGCTACCGTTGCTGCTCCAACTTGGAGATGCCTCCTTGCAGAAAGAACTGCCGGGATTTTGCTCCGCGGTGAAACCCGTAATGTTGCAATGAAGGGCATGGTTCAGACCGATTCAACCCCATTGGGTTTAACCGTTTAACCTTCAAACCGAATGACGGAGTCTTGGCTTAGCTTCACCGCTTCCAGGCCATTTGGGCCGAGATGCTTGAGCCATTTCCAAGCACATCCCACGTGCAAACGGACAGCAAGTGATGGGTTTGGGAGAATCTCTCGCAGATCCAGGACCATCATCCAGGCAGCCCAAAAAAACACCATTCATTCATGAATTCATGGCATAGGGTTTAGGGTTTAGGGTTTAGGGTTTAGGGTTTAGGGTTTAGGGTTTAGGGTTTAGAGTTTGGGTGGGCAGGTTCTGGACAGGAGAAAGGGGGGAGCGGCAGGGACAGTTGACTCTAGCGCCACGAAAAGCTAGCAAGCAACATCAAGAACCGCCAGCGATGGAACGAACACGGCGCAAGTGCTCAACAAGAATGGGGCGCGAGGGACAAAAACAAGTAGCGCATGAACACTCATCAATCCGAGGGTCCTCTCAGGGCGGGGGCAGACCGGGCAAAGACATCAGGCTGAGCGGAAGGGCGGTTAAAGTTGGGGAGCACGGAGCCCAAGCCCCTCAGGGAAGAACATCAGAGGCTTTTCGGGGAACTGGCCGAGACTTGTTAACTGTCGCACATATATGAAGCAACCACCCATACGAGTAGGTACGGGCCTCTTAGCCGTCAGAGTACACCAGTCTTGGCAGCTCAAAGCAATCTATAGACCGGCAGCGCCCACTACGTCATTAAGTCAAATCCTTGTTGTAGGTATCTGTGACAGTGTAACCCGATCATTCTGGTTGAGCCCTCCGTCATAAGCAACAAGCTCCCGGCTCTCGAATTTTGAGGCAGCATGCATCAATAATCAATTCATGTGGCGAAGCTTCTTTGAGCTTGCGCGCGGCGGCTTTGCACCGATCCTTCACTTGCAGCTGAATTCAGAATGATTCTGTGCCCTGCCCGTCGGAATGTGTCGGGCACGCAAGAGGCTGCCGAACTCTCCTTGCGCTGAGATCTCTGGGCCCAGGGGGCCCCTTGGGCTCATGAACCATGTCCCAGAGAAACAAAAAGCTGGGCGTGTGGTCCGTGATTTTGGGCAGGTTGGCTACGACGTGGGTTGTGGGGAAATCACGCCATTCTGCACAACAATCTCGCTGAGCAGCTGGAGCAGCTACGTGCAGAACTGGCGTCGAAGGCGATCGGCCAAGATGGGTCGCATCGCCTTGCCGCTGCCGTTGCTAAGGATCCACAAAGCTACAGCGCACCAACAGCCGTACAACCGTATAACGCCGAAAACGGAACTCAAAACCCAATACAAGCCTCAAATTATTCAAATGTCCATGATCCCAGGTGCCAGGCTTACCTCCAGCGCACTCTGTGCACGTCGCATAGTCTGCTCCACCATGGCGATATTGTCGGGGACCATGGCGTGAGTTTGGAAGGCCTGCTGAGTATGAGCAAAGTCCCTGTATACATTCTTCAGCCCCAGATTTAAGTACGCAAAGAAAATGCGCAAAACGTCTCTAGTGGAACCTTTCATCGTCGCAACTTCCCGCAACCGTCTTCAACTTCAGGGCTCCAACACAAAAGCAACTGTGCCTGCTGCAACATGCGCAACTCCTTGAAAAGAACGAGCATCTGCTGCATCGTTTGCCCGGAAAGTCCCTCATCCAAACTACGGTTCACTGCCGTGCCCACGTCGATGCAAAATTCTGCATGCAGTGCCTGACGAGCTTGTTATGCTTGTGTGTGAGATCCACGAGACAGCATACGAATTTATCGCAAAGCGTGCTGAATTTCGAGCGAAAGGCAGCCCGGGCATCTTCATTGCTCAGCTTGATCATGGCATCGCTGTCTAAGATCTTCGAGACCAAGAGGCCGGCCAAAGGCACCATAGTAGACCAAGCTTCCTGCAAGTGGCACACTCTCGATTTTCATCCTACAAGTCTTTTTTGAAGTGAGCCCCTATTTGCAATCGATGAGAAGGTGACCGCCAACCACTAGTGCACTACTTCTGAGGGAATCGGTCGTCTTCCAATCTGAATGCTGAGAGCCAAGATTCCAACAAAGCCTCTTGATGCTGGGTATCCGCAGCTTGAAATTGAGCGTAACCTTCATGAACATCCAGGAACTGCAGCGAACAGGACATATAGCTCTGGAGAAGCCTCACGGCATCAGAGTAAACAGTGGCATACTTCTTCGCCTCCGTCAAGTACTTGTCGAAAGTGGCCCGAAGCTTCCACCAGGTTGTGTCGAGTTCCACGAGGAGCCAAGCCTTGCTGTCAAGTTGCACCTCCTTCGCCTCTTGCACCTCCTGCCTTACACATGAGGCACCCAAAGAATGAGATGAAGGAGTTCTCAGCACTGTTCGTTTCTATTTGAACACCCGTTTCATCAGTGCAACAAACACTCTGCGGAAACATGAAGACAAGGCACAATGCTTGTTGCAAAGCATCCTTCCGTTGCCGAGTCTGCGCCTCTGCCGTGCTGAACAGCTTTTTCCTTGGTTGTTGAGTGTTCAAACAAGTAGCTTTCCTCCCACAGCTGCTGCGGACGGCTACGACTAGCGAAAAGCAGCCAGCTGCTTAAGGGAACCGGGGCTTCCAGGGCAAAGCGTCTGGCGCTGCTTCCACTCTTCCGACCGTTGATGGTACACGCCCAGAAGGTTATTTCTGGAGCGGCCGACTCTTTCCATGACCTTGGCTTTGCTCACGACCGCAGCGATGTCCATGCTGCATCAGTCTTCTATGCCAAGTTCTGCCTGCACGCCATCAGCTAGGAGAACTTCTTCCTAGCTCCTGAAATCAGTCCAAGAGACCTTGGCAGCCGCGGTGATCTGTGCTGCCACGCCACGGCTTGATTGCAAGCCTTGAGACAGACAGTTGGAGGGCTACCTCTTGCTAAGATCTGCTAGGTATGGCTTTAAGGGATATAATTCTTGTCTCATAAATGGATGTGGGGCAACTCCCCCGGCCTTGCTCCGTTGATGAGGCTAGGGCGGCCAGCAATGTCTCGGCCCTTCCAACGAGGTGTGCTGTAGAATTGCCTGAGGGGCGGCCGCTTTGATCCCCAATCGATTGGGGCCCTGTGGACATTTGTGGGCTATCGTGAAGCAAGTCTTTTGATGTCATTCAACTGTCAAGATTGGGATGTCCGAGAGGTATTGATGTCTCAGGCAAGATGCCGCCCTCAGCAAATGTTCTTATTGTTCGGAAAACAACTAAGAGCTCATTCGTGCTTCGGATCAAAAGGACGCTTACGCGAAGCAAATACTTTGCGAATGCCGTTTTGAGCTCGGTGATCACCATGCTTGTGAGGTCTTACTGCGTGGGAACTCCAAAAAATGAAATGATTGCCATGGCTATGTCATCGGACTTCGGGCACCTCTGCGACCTCAAACAAAATTCGGCCGTCTTACTTGGCTACCAAGAGAAAAGGAGCCTCAGAAGTCCAGGAGCTGGACGATCTTAAGCTTGCGAAGGCTTTGCGGCGGTTGAGGGGGCTGTTGGCAAGGCACCAAGTCGCATGACCCTGTAAGATTTAAGAGCATCTCGCGTTAAGTCTTATACCGCTTCGTTGCCACGTTCGACTTCAGCCGACACTGACATATGGCTGTCGGATGTAGATCTAACTGGGCTTGCCTCCAGGAGCCTGCCACTGTAGATCCGCAATGAAGCCTTGAAGCGCCCGGGATGACGCCTCTCGTCCAATGCCTCGGTTGCCACGTTCCCCCGAAAGAGAAGGGAGATCCGCGCAGGTCCTACTGAGGGACGAATCACCTTCATCAAAAACAGGGGGCACGGGATTCACAGCTTCAGGAAGTGCAGCAAGGCAACCATCCTTCTGCACATGTGACTATCTCATTACATTGATTCATTTGATGCTCTGACTCTGACGCAAGGACACCATTGAATATGATTCGCAGGTGAAAATGAACTGTGTTAGAAGAGGCACGGGGGGTTGCATATTCAGGGGGGCCCCATTTCATCGCAAACAGTGTTTCTGAAAAGCCTCCTCGTGTTTAACGTTTCGGGCTTTCATGCATTTGCTTCGAGGCCGAGCCTGAGCAGATCAGAAATCAATCAGCATGCTTATTCACTGGGAGCTTGAAAACCCGGGTGCTGTTGAGCTGGCCCACAGAGAGAAGCTTGCGAACTGATGCCAGTCGCGAGTTCAGCACTCTTTGGATGCCCCGGACATCCTGCAAAGGCTTGCTCGCACGCCCGACGATTTTTGGAATGGATCACATGCTTGTGTCATACAGTTCGGCAGTACAGCTGACAAGCACTCTGACGTCAGTAGTAACCGAATCCCAGCTTGGCCACAAGATCCACACAAGGCTGGTCCTGGCCATTCTGCTCATTGTTGGTCTCCTTGATCTGGTCTGCTAAGGCCTCGATTTTTCCAGAGACCAGCGTCGCATAGTACTCCGAGAGGGCATCGAAATTCGTGTTCAGAACATCCACCGCATCTTCCAAAGACTTGAGAATTGCTTGGTCCCCGCTTTGTACCGCATCTTTCACACAGTGCAAGTCGCACCTTGGAAGGGCTCTGACTCAACCGCACATATTACACAAGAACCAGAACCTGTCCAGGGAACGTCGTGCCCCTGCCTTGTTTAAAATTCCCATGGATTCCATGCATTCTACGCCCAAGTCCCACTGATTCCCCTGAAGAGAATTACAATTCTTACCGGGCATCCAGAACAGCACCGACCCCAACCTGAGAAACAATCACGCCGTGTCGCCATACCCGGGCGAAGCCTGCAGCTGCACCGATGCAGTCGTCCTGCGCCTCGTCTGCGCGCTCCCATATTTTCCTCTCGGTGTGCAAGTCAATATTTCTGAGCCTCCCTATTTGAGGCTTCTCGAGCCAACATCTCTTTGCACTTGTTTTTTTTGGGAGGACTGGGAGTTGATGGGCCCCTGGGCGATCTGTCCCTCCAAAGGTGTGAAACTTGTGTCAGCTATCGGACAAGCATCATCTCGCGCTAAGTCCACATGTGATACACACGTGATACGCGCAAGTCAAGTTCTCACGCTTGCATGGTAAATGAAACGCATGAAACGCAGCACCATGAAGCACCGTCAAGCAAAATTGTCAAGCGCTATATGGCACTTGGCTATAAGCTTTCGGTCCTCGCCGCATCGACTTCGACCCCTCCGACCTGCCCCCAAGGCATTCATCAAATTGTCTTCCATTCTTAGCACATCGGTGTGACTGCTCTTCTTTGAGTAGGGACCTTGGGTTAAGGCTTCCCTTGTCAATCTTTATTCAGGTTCACAAAGGCTCTCTGCGCCACATGTTGATTCAACAAGGAGGTTCCCAACTTGGCTTTACAAACTTTCAAGTGTTCGGCTTCATTGATGTGTGTGTGTGTGTGTATGCCACACACACTTGCCGAAGATCGGGTAGTCGTGGAATTGCTTACCGAAAGAGTTGCAAAGTGTTTGTGGATGCCTTCAACATTCTGGGTTTGTCATCGGGCGGGACGGGCAGGCTAGCGGGGCTGCTGCAGAAAAATGCCTTTAGAGTACTTATTAAGGGGAAGGCCCTCAAAAATGAGTCACGAAAGGGGTCAAACGCGACCACCAGCTCGTGACCGCACCAGGTCGCAGCGCCGCATCTTGAAACGCGCCCGACAACCCACACGCCCCGAGCCTCCCCAAGAGTCCCTTCGTGTTAGTGCAAAGGCAGTACGAAAAGGACTCGAAGGCCGTTGTTGTTAGTACAAATGGCGGAGGTCCGGAGCATGAGGGCCTGAAGACTCGCCAACCCAGCCTTTCTGAAGTAGATCGAATCACAATAAGAAAGCGACACAATAAGTTTCAGCAGAGTTACAGCTATAAGCAAAACAAAGTTACAACCCAACTTGCCTTGCTCTCTAGAATGGTGTCGAGGGCCAGCTCGCATGCGTCATCGAAGTCAAGCTTTGTTCCGAGGCCAAAGGGTGCCGTGATGGCTCCTGGCTTTTCAGCATCTTGCCGAAAGAAATTGAAAGAAATGCTAAGACTCTTGCGCCAAAGCCTTGCTCCCTCTTCCATCACTGAGAAAGGATTTCCGAGCACAGTGTGTTACCAATGCAAGCCAGACGGGTCCTGGCACGAACGCGCATGGAAATTTGAGCCCGGCAAAGGCCACGTTGATGTCCTTGGCGCTCTTTGCCGCATCAAGCTCATCTTGCAAGTCCTGGCGCAGCCTGTAATCCTCTCTGCCAAAGCAGTCCAGGACCTGCTGGTAGTCGAAGCCTGCATCGCCCACGCCGTTCTGCGTGTCCCAGTAGCTAGCATAGCCCTCACCGGATCGCCACTTCTTCGGTGCCTTGCCGGTCACGTAGTGGCACGGGTTGGTGCTGGGCAGTTTCTTGCCAACATTCTTCCACTTTGTCACCAGCTGCTTGCACTCCTGGACCGAGGATGGTTATGAGGGTGAGTGTGGAAACTATTACGAGAAACGCAAACTTTGTCTGGGCAGTGACTTAGAAGGTTCATGGTGCATATGTGGAGTTGTTTAGAGTGGCTCCGTGTGGCTCCTCGGCCGTCTCGGGCTGCACCGCAGCCAGCTTCCTTAAAGACGGCTTTGGGATGGGCGCCTTGGGTAGCTTCTCGGTTTCCGGTTCTGAGATCGGGTAGGTGCTGTCAAAGTCCAACACCGCCGTGGTGGCCCACTTTGAGTTCTGCAGGTTGCCATCTGATAAAGGGTCTGCTACGGTGCTGTCTGTGCAGCTCTCCTGTTGCTTTCCCGTGATATCCTGCCATGTCAGGCACCATTGGCCAGTCCGCCAATTGAACTGCAAGCGACCATTAGGGAACAACTTGTAGGAGAAGCTCTTTCTCTGCTCATACTGCAAGCGGCCGGTCTGGTCGCGCTGCGTCGGGCAGTAAACCCCTTCCCACGTTTGGTAGTACAAGACCCAGTGCTTCCTCACCAGGCCCATGGCCAAGCGGCCAGTGTAGCAGCAGAGCAGCCGAAAGGAAGTCGTCGACGTCGACTCTTCGACCTAAGTGTAAGGGACGGGACGAAAGCGCTCTTGGGCGGCTTAGCCGAACCTCTTTCTTTCTCCGCCCTCTCGAAATCTCTCCGCTCTCCAGCCTGCAACTGCTGGAGGCCGGTGTTCGCGGGACAGTCGAGCTGCGCATTGAGCAAGGCCGCGTCGCTGTGGTCGTAGGGCGGAGTCAAGTACGGGAAACCTCAAGTGTACACTTCTTTCCCCAATCTTCAAATCTAAGACTCCATCTAGAGGACCACGGGTGCAACATGGTGCAAGCCCAGTCGTGTTGTTCGGGGCTTGCTTGCGATGATTTCATGTGAGAAGTCTGTCTGAATCGGCTGAGGATCAGGAGCCGATCGAGACCATGCGGTTGCAGCGGTAGCTGATGCCGACGCTGTTCCTCTCCTGTCCAAGCTCAGGAAGTCGGGACTTTGAGGCTCTGCCGCGTTGCATCCACCTCTTTGGTGGAGTGTTCGCGCAAGAACGACTTTTAGGAACCAGGCACCGAAGAGTCCAGAAGGCACAGTACTTCTTACTGCCAGATTCTCAACTTCTGCACAAAGTCAACCCCACAGCCCGTTTTCCCAACCCGACTTGAAAAACACCGGGCCCTTTCTGAACGAGGGCAGGCCCAGTCAAACCCCAAGCCGGGTCAGGATTTCCCCAAACGCCACAAGAGGGAGCGGGGGAGTCCTTTTTGATGTAGCTCACCAAGGATCCCTCTGGGCAGTTCACTGAACTCACAACATCCACTGCCAGCAGCTGCTGTGTCGGTTCCTCAGTAAGGATCAAGGTCGACCAGGTTGAAACCTTGAAACGTGCTTCGCTGAGGCATTTCAAGTACTTGAGAGGAAAGCTAGACGACCTGTTAGCACGCCAAATCTTCCAGGGGGGGGGGGGGGGGGGGGGGGGGGGAGGAGGTTTTGCGTGAGCGGAGGTGACTCTGCATTGGGGTCGCGGGGGCACCCCGCCTCGCGGGAAGTGTAAACGACAACTGCCGCAAGCATAAGAACCCAAAGAGCTTTCATGACTTGCGACTTTAGTTCCCGGTCACCAAGCCAAGGCTCTAGATCCTTGCACCGGACTGCGAGGGTCTCCAGAGTTTCTTCGGACCTTGTGGACCTTGCGATCCGCCGCCCAAGCCATGAGTAGGCCCACAAAGCGGCTGGAGTAGACTGCAAACACCAATCGCCGCGTCCATCCATCAGCGTGCTGCGCTCCGACCACACCGTCTGTGGTTGGTTCGAGCAAAGGTCCAGGACTCCGCCTGAATACTACTAGCAGTGCTGCATAAACTGCGCAATGCTCGTGAGGACCCGGGGGCACGTAACTCGGGTGAAGCTAAGATCGTTGTACTATAACTATCCTACAGGTACTGAAGGAGCAATCTCGAGGTTTGGGGGGATGCCTGCGGAAGACACTGTCAAGCAAAGGTCCGGGTGCGCCACGAGTGTCAGCTGGGAGCCATTCCAGAAGTATTCACCGTAACCACCGTATTCACCCTCGCCACCTTCGCCGCCCTCACGGCATGCACCCCACCTCACCTCTTCGCCAGGCTCTGGTTGAATGGGAGGGCTCAGGCAGAGCCCTGTGCGTGGATGCATGAACCGAACAGTCGGCACCAAATTCGACACCCGCGTTTGGCTCAGCATCTCAGCTGCCGATGCCAGGCCGCAGCCCGCAAACTCATGGCTCTTCCCGCTTAAGGAGAGATTCGACAAAGCAAAGTTCTTGCAGTCCCGGGTGAAGCTCACATCCCGAAAGCTTTTAGAAACGCTCTGGCCAGGCTGCCACGGGGGCATGTACCTGCTGACCAGTGCCCGATCCATTGATGCAAAGATCGAGGGCTGGTTATACTGCTCTTCTGCCACATAGGTTTCGCTGCAAATCGGCGTCTTGAACCCTGTCTTCGTGCTCCGCAGGCACAGAATAGTTAGAGGGGATGTGTCCTTCAGGCGAAAGCTCTTGTCACTGAGCTTGTCGAAGTGCACGGTGAGCAACAGACTGTCCTTCGCACTCTTCGCATTCTTCGGACTCTTCCCGCGTGCCTGTTGAACGGCCATCTGCAGTAGCGACTCCTCCTCCGGGTTGATCTGTAAAGGCTCCGAATCCTCCGATTTCACCAGCAGGTTATCGGAAGACTTAAAGGAAGCCTCCTCCAAGCCAGACGCGCCCACGGCCAAAGGCTGCAGCAAGTCCACCGCAACAATGAAGTTAATGTTCTTGAGAAAGTACAGCTCCTGCCGACCCTGCTCCTGGTACATGACGAAGTCAGGCCACGTCACCTCAGAAAGGTCCGCAACCCTGAACTTCCCATCTTCGGCTCCAAACCTTACATGATTACATGAGCAATGGCGCAATGACCGGACTGCACGAACGTGATCGGCTTTACAGCCCTGTGCCTGAACGCAATAGCCGCAGGCGAGACCACTGAGTCCTGGCTCTTTGCTGGGCCCCCACCAGCTGCCCCCAGAGCATGTAATCGTGTACTCTTCTTCCTGACTCGGGAACACAACCATCACACATGAAGCACACACTGAACAACATGTTCTTTTCGGGTGGACTCTTGGCATCCCAAGCGTCGAGCTTTCCAGGCAGGGACGGCGTCACAGCCGCGTAGCGGTCCGACCAACAGGAGATGCCCAATTCGGAGCCGGGAGAGAACGTCTGCGGCAGCGGGCGCTTTCTCTTCCAGGTGCCAGTAGTCTCGGCGTATTGGCATCGAAAGCACTCTTCCACTCCCAAGCCCCCAACCATTTGATCCATATCACATTGCTCCATTAAGTCTTTGTGCAGGCACGAAATGGCCTGGCCCCTGTCCGTGTCGGCGTGCAAATAATTTCGTCTAATGGTCGCCCAGCATTTCGAGGGATCGGCTCTGCGGCAGAGCGTTGTAGAAGGCGCTCTCGCAGCCAACATACCTCTCGATCCTGGTTCTGTGAGCAAGGCCTGGCAACCAGAATAGAGCCGACACTGCTCGACGGCAGCCGAAAGGCCAGCCCAAAAGAACAAGCACTGCGGCTCCAGCTGGCAGGCAAAGTGGCAGTCTTCATAGGTCGAAGCTGCTTGGGGCATGATGTACTTGGCAAGCAAGGATGCTTGGTCACAGGTCAATGCGCCGCGTGCAATCTCGATGGCTGATGGTACGTACCTTGCACTCTGCGCATGGGAAAGTACTCAAAGACCGAGGAACTGCTTCAGCAACCCAAGAGAGAAGACTCTGTGCACCATTGCGTTTAACGTCGTGAGACTCAAGTCTTAAGCTGGTGGAGAAGAGAAAGAGCAACAGAGCCTACCAGGCAAAGCCCGAGGCACTGGTTTCCACTTCCAGGCGGCACAGATGTGAAGCTCGAGGATGTCACAGGCTTGTCCTTCCAGCCCTCGGGGAAGCAGTCGCAAGCATGCAGGCCTCGGCTCTCAGATTGTGTCTTCCCGCTGCTGTGTCTCCCTGTGCTTAGAGGGCCGCAGACCCCTCTGACTGCTCCCCGAACTTCAAACACCTTGGCGCCACCAAGGAGCTGAAGTCCATGGCAGTCTTCGTGCTGGGATCATCGATCTGCAGAAGTTCTTCGGGAAGTTCCGGTGCCTCGCAGGATTGCGCCTTTCAGGGGATGCAAAAGGCTTGTGCCCATCTCGCCAACTCAACTCAACCGCAGGAACTGGCAGTGACGCTTTCCACTGCTCCTGAAGAATTCCACCCCCAATGAGCGGATGCCGAACTTGACTCGACTTAACAGACGCCCCTTCGGCGCCTGCAGGGTGAGCTCTAAGCCTGTGGCGCTGTGCTTGAAAGCTTCAGAGAAACGCAGCTGTGATCTACTCGTGCAGTTTCTGACATTTGTGCAGGTAGGAGAGTTGGTGCAGTGGCTCTTCCGGGTTTTCTTGCATCTGCCTGCAGATGTCATTTGAGGTTCGCCATAGAGGCGCCGACTACTCGCAGCTAGGGCTCAGGGGTTGTACGCGCGAACATTGAGGGTTCCTGCAGGAATGCGTACAGAAACACCTGCGCCCTAGACGTCAGCCCTGAACCGCAGAAGAGCTGACATCCCCCAACATGTTGGACCGCCGCGTGACCGCTGCCGATGTCTGTCTTGTTGTCCACAATCAGCAGCTTTTGTCTGCCCTTGTGGAAAGTCGCCTGGACAATGCCTGGGCCGGCTAAGATTGAATGAGCGATAGACTGTCGACTTTCTAATCCAGGGCCTGTTGTTCTAACAATGCCTCGGCAACAGCTACACACCAGCGTGTGGGCGAGAATGTTAACCTCCGCCGGCAGCCTTCGATGCCCTGTTTCGACAGGGATCTTCGAATGCATCCGGAAGGCTTCACGCAAGGCTTGGGCGTTTTCGTGGGATTCCCTGAGGCCGGCGCTCAATCATGCTGTGTCGGAATCTGCTGGAGGGGGGGGGGGGAGGGGGAAGGAGCAGCGATTTCCTTTGAATGAGCGGGGCGAATGAACGGTGAATTCACACGCGCACTGTCCATTCTGCAAGGGAGAGAGGCTCACGAATTTAGAAACCAAACCCTGCTACGGAAACGGACCCTGATTCGGAAACGAACGACAGGCAGAGCAGCAGAGTAGCGGTTTGCAGCCGAAGCGCTGTGAGGCACCTCCGCAGTGAGGCAAGCCAAGTGCTCTCCGAAGAGTTCCATGTACTCGGAGCTGGAGTTCTCGAAGTCCCAGCTAATGTTGCTCCTAACGACCGTAGGATACCGTAAGGCCCCCCCCAACGGGGCACTCCGGATGCAGAGATGCATGTTGCCTTTCGCAAGTGCATGTGTCCATGCGCTACAGCGCGAACACACCCTGAAATCTCCTCGTCAAGAATAATCCCCCATTGCACTTCTCGAGAGAGTCGTCGGTCTCCGGCGCCAGGTAGAACACGTCCTGCCAGGAGAATGGATGCAGATTGATACTGGCTTGCCTTCTGTCGCAGGGAGGTCAGGTTTGCGGGCTACGCCGAAGGCAACGACAGGATTTCTTGCAAGCACGCCTCCTCTCAAGGATTTGCCAACATCCACGGCACACTAGCACACTTGACACGTTCCCAGCACATCTAATGCACGACTGTCCTGGGGAGTCACTGCAGTCTTCTGAAAGATCCAGCTGTTGGAGGGGTCAGCGGCCCTCCAGATCTGGTAAAAGAGCTACACAACTCTGTGCCCAACTTACGCATTGCCAACTGAAACAACGCTGTCGTACCCCCCCCCCGTATGTCCTCTCGTACGCCACCGGGCAGAAGACTCCACTATAGAGCCAAGCAGGATCTGAGCCTGTAAGATTCAGGCAAGTGTTCTCCACGCTGCAGTTGGGGATCTTCGTAAACCTTGGGTGCTGTAGGAAGAAGACAAAGTGCACTTCTATGACTTCATGAATCCCGGATGTATACCGTCAGGTTAAGCAGGAAGACAAGTCCCGACAGGTCCCAACTGCGATCCTGAAACGCTGAATACTGTCGGCAGTCTTTGACGGGATGTGGGCCACAGGGAGACAGGAACAAGCACTCCGCTGGTGCTTTCCACGCGTAGGCTGCGCAGCGTACATCTGCGCGGCAGGCTCGACGGCACTCACCGGCTCCGAGGGACGACTCCTCGGTATGCAAATTCAAGCATGATGTGTCACATGAATTCACATGATGTGCAGCACGTGGCAGGGTCTCATGTCAGTCCTGCAGTCCTGCACTGCCCGGCCGTGGAGCTGCGTGTCCTTCCAGCAGGTAAGGTCTTGTAGGTAGACCGTGACCTGACAGCGGCAGACGTGTGTTCTTGGGCTTCTGTCGTATTTGGTTCCTGTCTGCGTATCATCACAAGCATCCTGGTCGTCCTAGCGTGTCTGCATTAGCACATTGCACCAGGAAATCCCGCCTTGCCATGGACAGGAACCACCGGCACGCCGACTTGCCACTCCTCTGCACTCTGAATGAAGGAGGCTTCGTAAAAAGGTTCTTTCCCGGTTGTTCGGTACGCACCGCAACAGAAAGGAACGGGATCCACGCACCCAATGGTTGCCGAGGCTCGAAAAGACCCATGACCGTGCAGGACACTTCCAGGAGGCCACGATGGCTCTGCGACTGCAAGTCATCGAAAAGCTGAGATGCATCCTTGGCTCCAGTTTGTTTGAGGCTGCCAAAATTGGCATGGAAGGTTGTGCGCTGTGCAGTCTTGGCAGCCCCTCCCCCACCCTTAATCCTGCGGCCTACTGACCCCAACAACCCCTAAGCCCAAATCCCCCTGAACCCTACAAGCGCGAACCCCCACTGACACCCTGGAAGACCTGACGCCCTAAAGGCGAGGGGAGGGGGGGTACCATAAAAACGGGTGCGTAAACGTCCCAGCATCTTGTTCAGGAGACACATCGATCGAACCTGTCTGCGTGTCCAAACGAAAAAGACTGAAACCAAATGCGGACACCACGCCCGTCAACTCGTCGAAAACAATCTCCACTCCAGGAGCCGTGCAGGATGCAGAATACCGGGATGGGGCCACACAGCCTTGCTCGCCGTTGTCATGGCCGTGAGGGTTCATGGCAGGGCCGAAAGTGGTGCCGGGCGCCACAAAAACGCTCTCAAAGGGGTACGAAATCGACGTCCAGGTCTTAGGAAGCAGGACCGGGATAGCAACAGTGTGCCTTGTTGCGTTGCGAACCTGGCACAGGCCTCCTGGTGCTGAAGACAAGTAGGGCAGCGTCAAATCCGTGAGGCCGGCGATGCTCGCTTGCGAAGCATCGATGTGGAGGCTGCCGTCACTGGCCAGCTGCCACGGAGATGGCTTCCCATCGTGGGGTGATTGCACGGGCAAGCAGGCCAGCGTCAAGTCGTTGAGCTTCACTTCTGGGCTCGCAAGAGCCGGAAAACTCTTTTCCCCAGTGACGACGAGTGCTGTGTTCTCGTAAACGAGGAAGTTGGAAGCAGTGATGTGCATCCTGGCCGAAGCTTCCAATCCGCCTTGGTCAACGCACCCGCCCCACGCATGCCTAGCGACGCTGAACAAGAATTCACAGATCCAAGCACAACGTGCTCCGAGGCATGCCGCCGTCGGCATTGTTCGCGAATCTGACTCTCTGAATGTCGCAGGTGTGGCTATACATGTCCCCAGATCTTGCAAAAGTCGCGGCATGTCGTGGCATTGTTCCCTTTTTATAAACGTACCTTTCCTAATTAACAGAACTACAACCCCACCATTAAGGTAAGGCCTACAAGCAAGGGAGGATGTTTTTGAATAAGGGATGTGATGTTGAGATAATTAAGGCTGCCGTGTTTTCTCGATTAAAAGAGGTTGTCGTAAAAATGACGCACAACCGGCATAACGTGGACATCCGAGAGCACATGAATATGTCGCAAGGTTTGCGATGAGAGTTTGCTTTATCGAGCTAGAAAAATTAGTCTTAGACACCCTTGTAAACTCCGCATCCTAAACCTTTTAAAGCCTTTAATCCCTGCCCCCTATTATTAAACGGGTGCCCCCCCCTCGCCCCCCCCCCCCCCCCCCCGTGGGTGGCTTAAATAGGGTCTATTTGGAAGCTGAGAGTCGTGTTTGGTGTGGTAGATAGAAAGGAAAGGGCATGATAAAGTAGCGAGAGGAGCTCTTCAATTCCCTTCCTTATCTCCTATGCTCTTTTCCTTCTTTATTGCAACAGGAGAAGACAGGAAAAGGGCTTCCATTCCCCACTTGTTCTTCCTTTCTTGTGTTTTTGTCATTTAGAGGGAAACAGGAGAAGAGGAGGGAGAGAGAAGGAGAGGGGAGAGATAACAGGAATCCAATTTCAGTGGAATAGCAAAGAAAAGAATAGAAGAGAGATGAATAGAGAAGAGGGAGAGACAAAACGAGGCGCTGAGAAGATGGCACTCTTCTTTATCTATCCTATCTCCCTTATCTCCTTTACCTTCCTAGGCTTTATCATTCAAGTTCTTTTCTTGTGTTTTATCAGTTAAACGGAAACAGAAGGAGAGAAGGGAACGGGAAGTGAGAGAGGAGAGACAAAAAGGAGGCCATTTTAATTTTCTGGAAGGGTACTGAACAGAAGAGAGGAGACAAGGAACAAGGAGACGGAGGAACACAACAAGGCGCAAAGAAGATGGCACTCTTCTTTATCTATCATCTCTCCCTTCCTTGTCTCTCCCTTTTCCCTCTATTATTAAAAAGGACAAGACCTCTTCGCAGATAGGTGCCCTCTCTCTTCTTCAGGAAGCCCCCTTGCCCTTATTTTGCTTGCCTTCTGAAACGACAAGGAAAACAACACATAGAAAGAGAGGAAATGGAATGAACCAATAGGCAATGGAGCTCTTCAATTTCTTTCCCTATCTCTTTTCTTCTTTTTTCATTCTTCATTCAACAAGGAAAAGAAGCTTCCTTTTGTGTGTTTTTGAGATTTAAAGGAGAACAAGAGAAGAGAGAGAGAGAGAGAGAGAGAGAGAGAGAGAGAAAGGAAAGAGGAGAGATCAAAAGGAATGCAACTCTAAATGGAAGAGCAATGAAAAGAATGGAGGAGAAATGAGGACAGGCGAAATGCAAAAATCAGGCAAAGAGAAGATGGTGCTCGTTTTCATCTTTCCTCTGGTTCTTATTTTTCTCTTCTCTTGTTCATTTCCGTTAGAAAAAACAAAAGGAATAACAATGAACATGTAATCAAACCCAGCTGATGCTCATGATTTTTTCCTTTCTCCCTCTCTCTCTCTCTCTCCATATATGGGCGATGGAACGGGTGTCCTTGTTGGGCCGTTTCCTGCATCTTCAAGTGAGGAACCTAAGTGTTTTCTTTTGTTCGTTTGAAGACACAGAAAGCGATTAAAAGGGACGTCCATTTTGGATTGGCAGCCAACCTCTCTCTCCCTATATATGGGCGATGGAATGGGTGTCCTTTTTGATCGTTTTCTGCATCTTCAAGCGAGGAAAAGGGACACCCCACAAGAAAGCACTTAGGGTGTCCCTTTTGCTCGTTTGAAGACACAGCAAGCGATTAAAAGGGACGCCCATTTTGGATTGGCAGCAAACCCAGCTGATGCTCATGATTTCTCTCTCTCCCCATATATGGGCGATGGAACGGGTGTCCTTCTTGGATCGTTTTCTGCATCTTCAAGCGAAGAAAAGGGACACCACAAGAAACACTTAGGGTGTCCCTTTTGCTCGTTTCAAGAAACAGAAAGCGATTAAAAGGGACGCCCATTTTGGATCGGCAGCAAACCCAGCCGATGCTCATGATTTATCTCTGTCTATATATGGGCGATGGAACGGGTGTCCTTCTTGGATCGTTTTCTGCATCTTCAAGCGAAGAAAAGGGACACCACAAGAAAACACTTAGTAAGGGTGCCCCTTTTGCTCGTTTCAAGACACAGAAAGCGATTAAAAGGGACGCCCATTTTGGATCGGCAGCAAACCCAGCTGATGCTCATGATTTATCTCTGTCTATATATGGGCGATGGAACGGGTGTTCCTGATCGTTTTCTGCATCTTCAAGGGAGAAAGAAGGGCACCACCCAAGAAGGAAAAGTAACATCAGATATAGGGAGGGAAATTGAAGAGCTCCTCTCTTTACTTAGTCATTCCCTTTCCTCTCTTCTTATCTGTTGTTTTCTTCGCTTCAAAAAGCAAAATAAGGGAAAAGAGATTTCCTGAAGAGGAGGGAGGGCACCTATTGAAGAGCTCCTGTCTTTACTTAGTCATTCCCTTTCCTCTCTTATCCGTTGTTTTATTCGCTTCAAAAAGCAAAATAAGCGAAAAAGAGATTTCCTGAAGAGGAGGGAGGGCACCTATCTGTAAAGAGCAATCGTTTAGAGGGGAACAGGAGAAGAGGAGCGAGAGAGAAGGACAGAGGAGAGATACAGGGAATCCAATTTCAATAGAACAGCAAAGAAAAGAATAGAAGAGAGATGAATAGAGAAGAGGGAGAGACAAAACAAGGCGCAGAGAAGATGGCACTCTTCTTTATCTATCCTATCTCCCTTATCTCTCCCTTCCCTCTTTCTTTTCGAAATAAGAACAACTAAAGAGGAAGAATTTATGAAAAGGAGAAGAGTAAGGAAAAGAGCAGAAGTAGGCCGAGAAGAGGGACATGATGAAGTACGGCAAGGTCCAAGCGCAAGGAGTCACCCTCTGCTTTACCTTCCACTGCTTTATCATACAAGTTCCTGTCTTGTGTTTTATCAGTTAAACGGAAACAGAAGGAGAGAAGGGAAAGGGAAGTGAGAGAGGAGAGACAACAAGGAGGCCATTTTAATTTTCTGGAAGGGTACTGAACAGAAGAGAGGAGACAAGGAACAAGGAGACGGAGGAACACAACAAGGCGCAAAGAAGATGGCACTCTTCTTTATCTATCATCTCTCCCTTCCTTGTCTCTCTCTTTTCCCTCCATTATTAAAAAGGACAAGACCTCTTCGCAGATAGGTGCCCTCTCTCCTCTTGAGGAAGCCCCCTTGCCCTTATTTTGCTTGCTTTCTGAAACGACAAGGAAAACAACACATAAAAAGAGAGGAAATGGAATGAACCAATAGGCAGTGGAGCTCTTCAATTTCTTTCCCTATCTCTTTTCTTCTTTTTTCATTCTTCATTCAACAAGGAAAAGAAACTTCCTTTTGTGTGTTTTTGAGATTGAAAGGAGAACAAGAGAAGAGAAGGGAGAGAGAAAGGAGAGGAGAGATCAAAAGGAATGCAACTCTAAATGGAAGAGCAATGAAAAGAATGGAAGAGAAATGAGGACAGGCGAAATGCAAAAGTCAGGCAAAGAGAAGATGGTGCTCGTTTTCATCTTTCCTCTGGTTCTTATTTTTCTCTTCTCTTGTTCATTTCCGTTAGAAAAAAACAACAGGAATAACAATGAACATGTAAGCAAACCCAGCTGATGCTCATGATTTTTTCCCTTCTCCCTCTCTCTCTCTCTCCATATATGGGCGATGGAACGGGTGTCCTTGTTGGGCCGTTTTCTGGATCTTCAAGTGAGGAACCTAGGTGTTTTCTTTTGTTCGTTTGAAGACACAGAAAGCGATTAAAAGGGACGTCCATTTTGGATTGGCAGCCAACCCAGCTGATGCTCATGATTTTTTTTTTCTCTCTCTCTCTCTCTCTCTCTCTCTCTCTCTCTCTCTCTCTCTCTCTCTCCCTCCCTATATATGGGCGATGGAATGGGTGTCCTTTTTGATCGTTTTCTGCATCTTCAAGCGAGGAAAAGGGACACCCCACAAGAGCACACTTAGGGTGTCCCTTTTGCTCGTTTGAAGACACAGAAGGCGATTAAAAGGGACGCCCATTTTGGATTGGCAGCCAACCCAGCTGATGCTCATGATCTCTCTCTCTCTCTCTCTCTCTCTCTCCCTATATATGGGCGATGGAACAGGTGTCCTTTTAGATCGTTTTCTGCATCTTCAAGCGAAGAAAAGGGACACCACAAGGAAACACTTAGGCTGTCCCTTTTGCTCGTTTGAAGACACAGCAAGCGATTAAAAGGGGCGCCCATTTTGGATTGGCAGCAAACCCAGCTGATGCTCATGATTTATCTCTGTCCCCATATATGGGCGATGGAACGGGTGTCCTTTTTGGATCGTTTTCTGCGTCTTCAAGCGAAGAAAAGGGACACTACAAGAAAACACTTAGTAAGGGTGCCCCTTTTGCTCGTTTCAAGACACAGAAGGCGATTAAAAGGGACGCCCATTTTGGATCGGCAGCAAACCCAGCTGATGCTCATGATTTATCTCTGTCTATATACGGGCGATGGAACGGGCGCCCTTCCTGATCGTTTTCTGCATCTTCAAGGGAGAAAGAAGGGCACCACCCAAGAAGGAAAAGTAACATCACATATAGGGAGGGAAATTGAAGAGCTCCTCTCTTTACTTAGTCATTCCCTTTCCTCTCTTCTTATCTGTTGTTTTCTTCGCTTCAAAAAGCAAAATAAGGGAAAAGAGATTTCCTGAAGAGGAGGAGGGCACCTATTGAAGAGCTCCTGTCTTTACTTAGT